GGGTATATTACAAATAAGGATTACTGAAGGAAGAGATTAGAGGGTATTACAAATAAGGATTACTGAAGGAAGAGATTAGAGGGTATTACAAATAAGGATTACTGCTGGAAGAGATTAGAGGGTATTACAAATAAGGATTACTGCTGGAAGAGATTAGAGGGTATTACAAATAAGGATTACTGCTGGAAGAGATTCCACGTTGTCTTTCATATACTGTATTTTTATGCACGACATCATAGAATGTAAATAATATGTAATTCAAATTAAACAATAAAAGAATATAAACAGCAGAATAAACCAACAAAGCTGAAATGACGAAAAACCCGCGGAAATACGTTTCACTTCCCACTATAAAGTTTGCCTCTTTTATATATATATTTTAAAGTCACGTCTGTATTAAAATTCACACCCTTCTATGTGTTCTTTGTTCTTGAATTTTCTACCGACTATTTGAAAACTGTAAAGCGTCAAAAACATGACTACCCTTGAAATTTCTTTCTTTGTTTACTCATGCGACCATTTCTGTTTAACAAATTGATAACACCCTGACTGTTACAAAATTAATACCACCAGGGGGGGGGGGCGAGTATAACATTTTTGCATAAAGTTTGTCCGTCGGCTTATAGATGTAAACAGAATCAACTACTCACAGTAAAGGGTCATCTTATCCAACGACATTATCTATTATAAACAGAATCAACTACTCACAGTAAAGGGTCATCTTATCCAACGACATTATCTATTATAAACAGAATCAACTACTCACAGTAAAGGGTCATCTTATCCAACGACATTATCTATTATCTTCACTTGAAATATTATTCTATAAGCTTGCTGTAGCAAGTAAAAACAACAACAACAAAAAGGCTTAACAATAGTTACCATTAACTAGTCTTAATATCGACGATAAGAGACAATACTTACTATTAAATAGGCTTAATATCGACGATAGATGACAATAATTACTATTAACTAGTCTTAATATCGACGATAAGAGATAATACTTACTATTAAATAGGCTTAATATCGACGATAGATGACAATAATTACAATTAAATAGGCTTAACATCGGCGGTAAAAGACAATATTTACTATTAAATAGGCTTAATATCGACGATAAGAGACAATACTTACTATTAAATAGGCTTAATATCGACGATAGATGACAATAATTACAAATAAATAGGCTTAATATCGGCGGTAAATAACAATATTTACTATTAAATAGGTTTAATATCGGCGGTTAAAAGACAATACTTACTATTAAATAGGCTAAAAATCGACTGTAAAAGACAATATTTACTATTAAATAGGCTTAATATTGGCGATAAAATATAGTATTTACCATTATACCCCGACTTTTGGTTTCGACTGAATGATTGTACTGGTGGAAGTCTCTTATTTTCTTCTTGCCTCTCATCGTCATAATCGGGCTGAAGAAACGACAGCAGTACGATATATATATAACTGTTTATAAGTACCAGCATTTTATTGTTCAGTACTTCAATACTCTTAATATAATAAAAAGACAAAAACCTTTGTAACACGAAGACTTTTGAATTCCTGTAAAATTGACTATACATTAAAATATTCAATAGTTGTTGCATTCAGTAACTTGCTACGTTCTTAACTGTGGGTAAAAACACTTCGCGAAGTTACACCTGAAGTGGCGAATGTGCAGTTTTGTCAAAGACATCTGTCGAAGAGACTCTAATCAATACTGATAAAATGTGTGTTTGTGTGCGAGTGTCTACTTACATAATATTTTCTTATATAAAAATAACTACACAATTCTCAAGTGTTTTCAGAAATTGCAGGAATAATTTTTTACTGGCCTACCAAACGGGAAAACACCGTTCGTGATTGTGGTGATTATTTTTCTCTAAAATTGTGGCTTTTAATCGGACCTCACACATTTTACTTAACTATGCCTAATGAAATAGTTTTGCCATTAAAAACATGGCACATTCATTACTTTCACACGAAACAATGAGTGTTCAGACATCATGACTGCAAAAATAGTTTTTCCTCCTTCTGACTTCGAGTAATAGAATGAATTGGAATTTCCATCCAGTCCAGAGAGAAACTAGGTTTTAAGTACAGTAGTTCCTAATTTTAAGGGGCGGCAACCAGCCAGTAACACCCACCGCCAAAAGAACTTCATCCAAGGCTTTTGAATCAAATAACGGGATTGGCTGTCACTTTTATAACACGCCAACAAGTAAAAAGTGGGTAGTGTTTAGGGGGCATCACGTCTCGAACCTCAGACCCTACGCCTGACTCATAACAGAAAGTGAGGATCAAGTTGTGTTTTCAATTTTTAAACGTAAATAAATAGTAAAAACAGTCTGTAATATTTATCCTGACAAAATATCAGCGAGATAACCTTCACAGATACTTTTTCAAACGTTTCTTGAGAAATACCAACTGTGTGTGTGTGTGTGTGTGTGTGTGTGTGTGTGTGTGTGTGTGTGTGTGTCTTAACGTCATACAGATATTATATACGATAA